TGGCAGAGGCAGAAGCAGAAAGGAGATGAAACCTGCTCCTGCAGAAGATCCCTAAATGGCCAGAATGGAATTAATAAAAGTATAAGAATTAATAAAAGTAAGACAGTTTGACCTGGAGTCTCTAATGTTTCTGTCAGTATCCCTGTGAGATGGGCTTGGAAGTCTCCTCTGGGACAGTTGTTAAGTTTATATGCTAGTAGAATAGGATCTGGAGTGTTTAAATAACTATGGGAAATTTTATGTGTATTTACTATGAAAAAGTCTGAAAGGGTATACAGAAAAATGTTAACAGTGGGTCTCTCTAGGTGCTGGACTTAACAGTGATTTTTCATTTTCATATTTTAATTTTTATGTGCATTTTCTAATACGTCTGTAATGAGCACCTATTTCTTTCATAATAAAGGGCAAAACTTTAATATGAAAATTATGAAACTAGAAATAAACTTTAAGCTAAGGAGGGCAAGACAGTTAAGCTAAGGAGGGCAAGACAGTTGGTGAATGAATTAAGTGGTTCCATTTCCTTTGTGTACTGTGCCATCTTCGCCACCTCTCCAGATGTGTGCCTGATGTGACCAGCCAATCTGGAGGCCAGCAGAGGAAGGAATAATGGTTGCTGGTATTGAGCCAGACAGGCTATTTGTCCACACACAAAGATTTCAACTTCATTGCATTTGTAATAATTCCCAGAAAAGTTATTTCTGCAGTCTCTCTTGGGTTCAGCTTTTAATTGAACAGCTCAGCCACTTGTGGTATGAGCCTAAGAGATGTTGAAATTTCAAGAGAGCTTGGAGGAGAATTATGACTTACCTAAACGTATCAGTCTGTTTTCTAGAACCAACCATCCTGCCAGGGTTTATGTGGAAGATGCCTAAGCGCCTCTAATTAGTGAATTTCCTTCCTTTCTTCCTTCCTTCTTTCCTTCCCTCAATCCATCCTTTCCTCTCTGATTTATTTGGTTTTCTGATGCCTTTGTAGCCATTACTACATGAGTTAACTCTCTTGGACAGAATGATTGGTAGCTAAGAATCATTTTTATCTTCCCAGTGAAAAAAGACAGAGAAAAGCAGAGGGAGTTGCCCTCAAGTTCACTGAATTGTCAGTTAAAACCCAGTCCTACTTACTTTAACCCAGTCTTGGTTAGAAATCACCATCTTCATTGTTTTTAACAGTTTATTCTTACCAAATGGTTACCACAGGATACTATCTTCTTCATTTCCAAATCTAAATGATATGTGGCCCTTTCCCACAGGCAGCCACTATCAGAGAACCAAAACTCTGTAAAAGGTGGACATTTTTCAAATAACCACAGATTGTTGACACTGAATGTTTTCTTAGAAGCTTTACATTTATGAAGAGTAAGTGCAGGGTCCAAGGTATCAAGAAAAAGGCATAGGTATTTATCAGACTCATACCCATGGTCAGATCTCCCCCTGTCTTAAAAGTAACACTGAATTCTTGGGGATCAAACTTCATATTACAATATAAATGTAAGTTTCAGATCACAAAAGTACTGATACTTCTTTGTATATATAATATGGGGATTCCTTTGACACCCAAATGTGAATTTGACTCAGACTAAAATTGTTACAAGACACTGATAGACAAAGGTAGAAGCAATGCCATGGACATATTTCAGAAGCATCTCAGAGGGTCTCTGAATCTCTGATAACTCCTCTTATTCTCTTAAAGAGCTTGTCTATAGCCATGGTTTCATCCATTACTTACAAGCTATCTCTCAATTTTTCTCTGTACCTCCTTCTCATATCTCCACCTTCCTGTTGTATATTTCCTCTCTGATATTCTCTACGTCCTTAATATATCTCAAACAGATGCACTTATCACTTTTGCCGAACTTACAACCCAGTCTGACCTGACTGCACGTCCTTGGCACCAGTGTTCCTCAAGACATTCTCACATAGTCTCACAGTCATCATTAACTCCCTTCCTCTCTCTCTTATGCTCTACAGAAGCTTTATTTTATTAGTTCTTCATAACCTCTCACTTTTACTTCTTTCTGTGACCTCACTTACTGAAACCCAGATCCCTTCTGGCCTGCACTATTGAGCTGAGATAACCTTGCCAGGCTGGTTTCCTGCCCAGGGCTCTCCCTGCTCTGCTCTAATTCCCAGCCCCCAGGAATAGCTGAAACCAACTGAGGGTGATTGAATCCAGCTTGTTAGGTTGAAAGTGGGGCCAGGAATAGGTTCTAAAAAGCTTAAGCCAGAGTTATTACTGAAATTCTTCCCCCACGTGTCAGATTAAGGAAGAACTGGACTATTTCTGGGTCCAAGGAATAGCCATTGAGTCGACAATGAGAGGGAGCAAATTGAGACGGATGGTAGAAGAGCGTTTTATGGATGCCAGCTGTAGTATAGTGGACCAGTACTAGTAGTATTAGGAGTGGGGTCCCTGCCCATAATCACTTCTCAGGGATATTGTAGCAAGCTTAAATGTTTCACACCACATGACCATTAAAGTCTTTTCAAACTCCAACTTTTTGCAACATAATCCTAGCACTCTCCACCCTCCCTCTGCCTCCCACCTGCTGGGAACCCCAATCTGTTCTCGCTGCTCCATCCTTCTTCATTCCCAGCCCTACAGCGGATGACATGCTTTCCTTTGCCACACTCCCTGCCCAGCCCAGCCCACAGCTTTCCAGCCTAGGTTGCTGCCACCTTGGGCCCGTAAGTAACCCAGAGGGTAGATTTGACTCTTTAATACCTTTTATATGCCAGGGTCTGTGCCCAGCGTTTTTCTGGATTTGATTGGTACAGCCACCCTGTGAAAATACTGTGGGTTTTGGATTCCTTTTTTTTAACCAGTTTTAAAGAGGAAACCCAATATCATACAGGTATTAAGTGGCAAAGCTGGGATCGAAACAAGGTTGTCTAACTCCAAATTCTGTGTACTTGAGAAAAGAGACAAAAAGAAGGAGGGGAAGAGTGAAGCATCCCTCAGCCCCGGGCCCCAAGTTGTACGGGATTGAGAGCGTGTTCACAGGCGGTCTTACATATTGAAAAAGTACATCTGGAATCTCAATAAGTATGAAACTGTGTGTTGCCAGCAAAACTTGTAAACGCTGATGTTTAGAATAGTTACTGGGAGCTAACAAAGAGACAAGAGGAAACTATAATGTACTTGATTAAAGCATGAAAGAACACTAATTTCTGTACTTTTTTATAATAAGTCATCATGTAATATAGTAATAAGTATTCATGTCTTTTAATGTGTGTTAGATTAACATTGCATGAATTATTTTAAATATTTTTATACTCATGTTTTAATGTGCCTAGCTTTCATGTAGTATGCTATCTAATCACAACTTAAAAAAAAAATCGGGTGCTGTAGTAACGTACTAACAGGAAGAGCTTGTGAGGCAATGGACATGGACATGCTTAGCACTGTATGTTGTTCATATCTAGCATCTGTACCAAGAATGCCAAAAAGTCATGTCACTGTTTTGTTTTATTCTTTAATATAAGTAACCACCAAAATTGTCAAAAGTATGCACCTTTTGACACAAATCCACTTTTAGGATTCTTTACTCACACATCATTTAATTAACCAGTCCCCTATTGTTTATGATCCATCAATGTGAACTGAAAATGAGAAAAATCAGAAAAGGATTAAGACTTGACTGCCTTCTATGTGCCAGACACTTTAGGTTTATCTGCTTAACCCTCAGTTAATCCTGAGGAGAAGATACATTACCTTTCTTTGAAGACTAAGAAAATTGAGGTCCATAGAGGCCAAGTATCTTGCCCAAGTTGATTTAGGTAGTTAATACCTGATTTGGAATTTTAACTCAGATATCTCTGGCTCCACGGTCTTTTCAATACACCAGTGATTTAAACATTGGATTCTGTGGAAATGTCTGATGTGGTGCGGGAGTCCACAGGGAAGGCTGAGTGGGTGGAACTCATTGCCCACTATCACTTCAACCAGAGCACCTGCTTTACAGTTAAAAAAAAAAAAGAACTGTTCTATTAAATCATGTATTGGTATGAGAGTTTTCACATAGTTCTGTAGTCTGTACTGATAGGTTGCTATTTTTTTTAAATGAAATAATCTATCATTAACCATCAACACAAGGAGACCTGAGTAGGTTGGAAAGGCATCCAGGAGTCGTAGCATGGATTTAAATTAACTTGATTTAATTTGGAATTTTGCAAAGATGGGTATAAGGAGGTTTGAGATAGTGAAGTTCACCTAACCCTGGGCCAGTCTTAGTTTAGTCTTCAGAGTAAGGATTCACAAAGAGGGTCCCCACAAAATGGGATGAATGTTCTTCAGTCAAATGTTCACAGCATAGTAGCAGCACAAACTGATGCTTCACCTAAGCTACTTAACAAACTTATTACTCTCTTAGGAGAGGGCTCCTGGACTTTAATCTGTCTGATTTATTTATTTGTTTATTCATTCACTCATCCATTCATTTGGTCTGGAGGTGGTAGGAGAAGGCTGACTACAAGGTATTTTGCCCAGGGAAGTGAGCTGGAGAAGAAACCTTTGAGACCCACTCACTGCTCTACACCAGATGATTATGGTTGGTGTTTGTTTCCTTATATAAATGTGTGGAAACCTATCAAAATGAGTGTTCTTTTAAACCTCTCTCATGCCTTTACTACTTTAAGGTGGGGGTAGGGATAATAGGGGGTAGGTTTTAAAGTTACTTTACCTAGGGAGAAAAAAGTCAGCTTTTCCCCACTATCAAATTTGTATTATTGGTTCTTGTCAGTTCCCATAGAGCACACAATGCAGTTTCAGGTGACAAAGGTTAAAACAAAATCACAATATTAGCCCACAACTGGAGGTGGAAATGAAGAAAATGAAAAGTATATTATCTGTTTGAAAAGTACCCAGGGTCAAAACATTTCAAGATAAGAGTCCAAGTGAACCGTGGACTGTTTCCTCAGGCAACAGAGACCTCTGGCTAGAGAAGTGTATTTGTCGTTTCCTGCTGTAAATTTTATGTGATTCTCATTTTATTTTTATTCCAGTTGCTACATTAATGGCCGGGTGGTCAAGGTGATGGACTTCCTGAAAACTCGCCTGTTAGACACACTCTCTGACCAGATTAGGAAAATTCAAAAAGTGAGTAAAAATCTCCTGGGAAGAAGAGAAGTGAGTACAGGGGTAATGGAAAAAGGCCCCAGAGTCCCAGCTGGACCTCAGCACTGTGGCAACCAGGGTGCAAAGTAGTACCGTCCAGATCTGCTTAGTGAGAGCCCCTCTCACAGTTAATAATTGTTATTGTTTATCAAACTGAGAAGGGTTTGGAATGTGCCATATCAAGGTTTAAAAGCTTCTCTATTTTAATAACAAATACTTTGTAATGGTTTGCTTTTAAGTTGTGAGTTTCTTAAGGGAAGAATAAATTTTCTTTGCTATTGTCTTCTTGCGGGAGTTTATTTGGGGTTAGTTAAGGATAGAATGATTACATTTACTCAGTGAAATTCTGGTATGGGGCACTGGCAGTTCTGAGTCATATTTACACTATTCTTAGGTGTCTTAGAATCAGCCAAGTAACACCTTGATTTTATAAAGATATGGTGGGGGGAAGCTATAGTATATTAAGTAACTGCACGTAAATCCTATTAGCAAGACATTTGGTCAACAGGTTTCAAACTTGAGTATAATCAAAATCCAGAGAGGTTAATTGTAAAGTTTCTCATCTCACTCCTGATGATCTGATTTACTATGTCTAGAGTAGATCCCAGGCATCTCTGTTTTTGATAGTCATCTGTCAAGTGATTCTACCCAATGGAGATCACATTTTGAAATGAACTTAGCTTAGTTACTTCTGACTTGGGAAGATCTTCTGTCTGTATTTTTCATCTGCCTCCACAAAATAGTGATGTCACATCTTTTGTTGTCTAGTCAGGTTCTTTTTCAGAGAATGGGGAGTTTTTGAGCACTTATCTATCTCTTGAGCAGATTAAACAACTGCAGAAAAATAGCAACAGGTAGAACCGCATTAACATGAGATGAATGAGTAAATGGATGAATGGCTCAAAGAAACTCCTTTTTGGAGCAATCAGAGAAGCACTTTTGATTGGTAAAGTGGAAGTCTTTTTTGTATTCATACCAGTTCATACCATGTCATACTCAGATTACAAATAGCCTTTTGAGTTCACTTGTTCTCAAAGGGTATTATTGGCTGAGATGCCTCAGGACGTCTGGATTCTGGCATCCCAGTCTGATCCCTCTGGGGATCAGGTGCATTGGCCAGCACCCTTATCTGTCACTGCCTTCTACTAGGCAAGGCCTGAGAAAACGATTGATTTCTCCATCAATAATTTGGAGAAAACCAAATGAGAAAACAAAATGATTTCAGATATCTCTACCAATCTCTGTTTGACATTCATTTAGTTTTTAATATTTATTTATTTAATATTTACTGAGTATTAGCAAGTACCAGGCAACATGCCATGTGCTGGGGATACAAAAAGGAGTAGTATATGGTCTCTGCCCTCAAGGAACTCACAGTTTTAAGGTTTAATGCTCACTTTGAACCCATTGAAAAATGTGGTACCTAAGGCAGTAGAATGTCAATCTGCTGAACACTACAGTTTTCCAAGCACATTATGCTAATCTAAAATTAGATCCTACTTTCCAAAAGAAGGAAATTTCTTTTGTTCATTCATTTGTTCATTCATCCATTCAATAGATATTTACTGGGTACTTACAATGATCCAGGCATTGTTCTAAATATTTGTACTAGGACAGTATACAAGACAGACAAATCCCTATATGTTTGGCTTTTCCAGTTTTGAGTCTAAGGGCCTGATCAAAGAGTTGTCATTGAAAGTAGAATGGTTCAGTGGTATCATGGTTCTTCACATGACAGTGAAGGTTCTAGCATGTAACTATTTAAGAACAGGTAGAGCTAAGTCAGAACCCAGGCAGCACTGCTAGGAGTTAGGTTCTTCTCTTTCTCCACACTCCCTCCACCACGGCACACTCCTTAACCATCACAGAATGTTCAAGGACTGAACTGAGGGGCTATGCTTACCTCCTGATCTGTCCAGGCAAGGCCCAAGAACCCTCATAAAGAGGGCTCAAACCCTTTGCACAATTGAGATTCAGACCTTTAGAAGCATGTCTGGTGGGCTGGATGGGGAGGGCCGCGTGAGATTGCAGAGAGGAGCAGCGGGACCTCTAAGAGAAGTGACCTATATGCAGACAGCACCTAGCAGAGGTTGGCTTTCTTTGGGGCCTGGAATCACCTTTTGGCTATTGGCAATAGAACATGCCAGAGGTCCTCTCAGGCCTAGGTTCTTGTTCTGATTATATCTTGCTGTGCAAGAAATTACTCCAAACCTTAGTAGTATAAAACGCCACTGTTTACTCTTCCCACATAGGTCAGGAATTCCCACAGGGCACTTGTCTTTGTTCCATAGTGTCTGAAGCTTCATCTGGAAGACTCAAAGCTGAGGTGACTCAAAGGGTGATGAACAGGATCATCAGAAGGCTTTTTCACTCATGGGTCTGGCAGCTGATGCCAGCTGTCAGCTCGCACCTTTGTGTTATAAATGTATATGAGCTCTCCGCATAGCCTGGGCTTCCTCCCAAGGTTCAAAAGTCAGATGCCTGAGAGAGAGAGCATTCAAAAGTCAACAGGTGTCACTTCAGCTACAGTTTCTTCATCAAGGCAGTCACAAAGACCAAGAGAGTTCAAGAAGAGAGGAAATAAACTCTCTTATTGGCAGAGTGGCATGATTGTGGAAGCACATATACTTTTTCATTCATTTTTGGAGAGTATCCCTCTGCCACTGTTCCATCATCGCAGTGCCATTTAGAAGCCCTTCAGTTATTTCTCTAACTAGTTTTCTGTGTCCAGCTCTCCCTTACAAAGCTCTTGCAAGATATTACCTTACCTGGGCATCTGCTGGATTACAGATTCCCTGAGATTTTCATGTACGGTAGACCCAGTTTTTAGGGCCTCTGGGATGAGAGTCTCTCTCACCACAGCCCAGCATTGCCAAGTCCTGGCCTGCCCTGGGGAGATGGGGGCTGGGAGACAAAAAAAGGGTCACTAAGGTTTGCCAGTTAGAAAGTTGCTTTGGCTGCTCCTGAAGTCCGCCTTGGGTGGGGAATCAGAGTCCAAGGTGCACACCGGGGCAGACTGGCCAAGCTTCTTTCAAGTCTCCAAAATCAGTTCAAAGATAGGCCAAGTAGGGTTTTAATATGTATATACCTAGAACCTTCATCCAGAAGCTAGAAATGGAATCTTTGTTTTGATTGTATCTGTTCAGAGATATCCTAATGACCCTCCTTAAGCCTACAGTGATGAAAAAAACCGCACATTTCCCACCAAAACAGATTCATGTGGGAGTGGTTAGATAAATCAGTGGTGAGGCTGTTTGAATAAGAGATAGAATATAGTATTTGAAGTCTGATGACTAGCTCTGGAGCTCAAGCTTAGCTGCGTGACCTTTAGCCATTCAGTTAACTTCTCTGATTTTGATTCTTCATCTGTAAAATGAAGATGCTAAGAATACTATCCTCCTTCCCTCTTAGGGAGATTAGGAAAGTCACGTGAGGTCCTGTGTTGTTAATTGCTATTGAATGCTACCTCTTATTGCTATTATTATTATTGTTTCAGTTACTATAGTTATTTTTAATAGTAACATATATCCCTGGAGAAGCTTCATGCTACCTTTATCTTCAGCTTGTTCTTTGCTTTTTTCCTCTTTCCTCTTTCTTTGAACCCCAGGGAATATGATAGGTGATATTTTTGGCACTTGAAAGGCAGTGACTCAATTGCTAAAAACAGCTGTGATTTCCAAATTTGGACTGCCACTTACAGAATTCTCAATTTTTTGAGCTGTGGGTGAATCCTGGTTATATGTAAGCCTACATGATGCATTTGAAAGCCAGAAAGAGAAAATGTTTGGACAACCACTCCTTTGGATGATCCACACATTCTCTTCCTTTTATTAGAATAAGGAAAATCATCTCTACTTTGGGAGATGAGTCAAGGGAAAGAGTTGGGAATCTGACAATGCAAGCAAGAGTCCAATGGGAAAGTAAGAGATGTCCAGGATGCAGTGCAGATGGTATGGCGGGGACAGCTGGCCTGATTCTGAAACAGCGACATAAGAACCAAGAAGAACCACTTTGGTTTAAGTCACTTGGACACTATGATTTGCATCTTCGTCTCCTAGAGGAATCAGAGGAGGAAATAACACTTTTTGATATTATTTTCAGCAATTCAATAAGCACAGGAAGGAGTTGGTGAAATCCCAGTCAAGGGAAGTATTTCCAAAAGTACCATCCATGTGATTACATTTTGAATACAAAATAAATGGAACAATTGGCTTCCCTAATAACATGAAAAGGTCCTTCCTTCTTTCTTCCCTTCTTTCCTTCATTTATCAACTGTTTATAACAGTCTTAGTAGTTTCCAGACCTGTGAAGATAAAATGATGAGCAAGACTAATGTGATGGTTGTTCTCATAGACTTTCTGGTCTGGTGGGTAAACCACCAGTTAACGAAGTAATGATAGGAAGATGTGATGACTCCTCTGATAGGGAAGGTATAGGCTGCTGTGGGAGCCCATGGTGGGAAGTATCTACCTTAGGAAAGGAAATCACAGAAGGCCTCTCCAGAGGAAGTGACATTTAGGCAAACACCTAAAAGATAGACACCTTCTGATTTATACAGTTGTTTGGGTGTGATCAGAGGACCACTGGTGGTAAATGTGTGTGGTGGATAGAATAGTTTATATGGTTTGTAATGTAACCATGACCATTCTTTTTTTAATGTCATCATTGCTTACGATTGCTTATAATATTTAATAAAGATGAACTCTTTTGAAGCCTCAATAAATGCAGTGACATTAGGCCACTTTTTCCAATATGTATAAGTTGCAGGATCATGGAATTAGGTAAGGCAGAAGAGTATTTAATCCTTTTGAAGTAATTAATAGATCAAAAAGAAGCTTTCATTCTCAACCATACTTCTGGCTTATGCGCTTATTTGAGCCTCTTAGTATTTCAAAGAGAAAAGTGGTTAAAAAAAAGTTAATTCTTGAGGATCATAGAATAATTGAAAGCACAACTGAAGGAAAAATGAGGTCAAAGGTAAT